AAAAAAAAAAAAAATACAACTCTAATAAAATTATATCACTGGCTTAAAAATGTAGCTACAGGCAAGACTCGACCTCCTGTGGCAGTGAATTCCCAGGCTGGTGATGTGCTCTGGAGACATTTCATTCCTCTCAGTGCTTCTGCATTCACTAAACTTTCATTTGACCCTAGTGTTCCCCTGGCATTCACTTTACACAAAAAGTGGTGGAAAATGGCAAGATCTGTGGGATTTTTTAATGGAATCATCTGCCAATAGGAATAATTTAAACTAAAACGCTGTAGAAAAATCCCACTTGTAACAATTCCCAGGGCTCCTCTCTTGATTTAAGCATTATCTGTGTTACCTGAGCTTTGTTACACCCCAGGAGTGGAGGGAAGAGGAGGAAAACCTGATTTTTAAAAATAGATTCACGTTGAAATCTGACTGGTGTTATATTACCCTGAGGTCTTCCAAGAGTTATTGCACACAGTCTCACAAATTTATGTTACCTGCTTGATAAATGTGTGATAACTGTGGAGCTGCTGAATCATCAGTTTATGGCACATTTTACAAGCAACTGTGCATTTCATTGACTCTGTTTTTCATTATCCCATATTGGTGGTGGCCACACTTCAGTTACCACTCACAGCCCCATCCTCCTCTGACTGCACAGCTCTATTAAAGTCACTGGGCTTACAGACATGAAAAAGATTTTTCCCAGCATGTATTTCCAGAATTTAGCTTTAAAAGCACCTTTTCCACAGTTCTAAAAGAGAAATCTATTTTTTTCTGACTGTGATTAATCATGCAGGACAAAAGTTATGCAAGTGAGAATGATAACTATGGTAAATTAAAGCAAGTGAGTAAACAGTGCTTATTGTATTGACAGACAGGAATATACTTCCAATACTGGAATACAGATTTGGGAATCAAATAATACATACCAGGAAAAAAAAAACAGTAGCTGAAAGGTGGCCAAAAAAATTATTTTGCTTTCCCTTCTCTGCTAAAACATAGTTGGCTTTTAATGTCATCTTACATTGAATTGAATCATAGAAAATAAAACTTTAAAAAAAATCACTGCTATCCCTCAGTTAAACCAGAATAAATTCATTTAGAAAAGGATACAATGAAACTTTAAAATAATGTGAAAAGCTTTGGAAGAGAATATTATAACAATAATTACAGTATTTACTACTGATGAATAATATTGCTGCCTCAATAAGGCCGTGCATATATAAATACAGCAATTCTGGTTTTATCTAGGTGCAGCAAGCTGGAAGATGGCTCCATTTTTTCTGCCCTTTGTTCTAAAAGAATAATAAAAAGAATGAATCATCAGCCAGGCAGGGAAATTGAGCAGAAAAAAATTGAAAAGCCCCTATTTAAGGCAAGGATGGCAGCATGTGATGGACTGGAGTGCATGTCCCACACTCTGCAGCATTCCCTGGTCCCAGCACCCCACAAAGGATGCTGCTGGGATGAGGCTGTGCCTTCTCTGCAGCACAGTCACCATCCCCAGGAGGTTGTTCCTGTCCACTTCAGCAGCCTGGCACAGAGCCTTCTGCTCTAAGAGCTCTCTCCCCCCTGAACACGTCCCAGCTCAAGCTGTCTGTGCCACCAGACCTGAGCAAAGCACAGAGACTCTGCTGGCCACTTCTGAAATGAAAGAAATGAAAGGAAGGCAGGATTTGAGCACCATGTCCAATACACTTGGCTGAAGGTGAAGGCAGAATGCAGAGCCAGGCTCACTACCTCCCCCCAGCACCCAGCTCCAGACTGCAATAAATTGAACAGAAATATTTGGATATAAAGTCACAGGGAGCATCATTAGAAAGCTGCTTCCAGGATGCTTCCCCTCCCCACCACCCCTGAAAACAAACTTCCACCTCTGATCAATTCATTATTCCTGACTCTCCTCCCACTGCTGCTGCCAAAGTAAAAGGAGATTGTATCTCCCAAGTGCTACACTAAACTATTAAATGCCCTGCTATTGATTTTCTCTCTCTGAAAGGCTTCAGGCAGCACTTGCACAATGGCTGTTCTTGGGGCCAATGTGTGCTGAAAGGAAGGGGCAGTTTTCCCATGTATCCCATTATTATGTACTTCATTATTTCTCTGACCTCTCTGCATTCAGGAAGGTCTTCTTTGGAACAAAAAAAAAAGCAGAAGAAATCTTGGTGGTTGGGAGCAAAAATGGAAAAGACTGGTGTCAAACAAGCAATCAATTACAAAATTAAGAGAGAAATCAGATGTTAGAGCTCTTGGACAGCTTTAGGTAGGAGGGATGGTACAAGAAACTTTAATTACAGAAACAAGGCAGGCAGGACAAGGATTTCCAGCAGCTTGCAGAGCATGGCAGAGCACCTCCCTTGCTGATAATGAAGTTGATATATCCACATTCCAGATGGGATGGTGTCCCTGAGGAGGAAAGGCTTTGTGGCTGCTGACTCCACGAGCACACAGCTCATCGTGGACACTGTGCTGGGGGCAGGAAAGCTTCATACAGGGCAGTCTTGCCAGAATTGCAGTCCTTTCCCCACGTCTGTGTTGTGTAGGGAGGAGTTCCCTCACCTCACACCTTCACCCAGCACTGGGAGAGGCAATCCCAGCTCTGTGCACTTGGATGGTGTTTGCATGTCACAGATTTTCCTAACAAAGTGAGCCCTGCTCTGCAACACAGTGCACAACTTGTATTTCCTAATGCCCTTAAAAAGATATTTTACACAGCTTCATGAAATCTGCTTTGTGAAAACCCTCAGGAAGATCTGTCAGGTTCACTGCTGTAAGAGGAACAGCCAGCTGATAACACTGGAGTATCACTGGCAGCTTGGATGAGTTTTATGTATAATGACACGTGCTTGGGACATCCCATTTCAGGAGGAATTTGTTCCCTCAACACGAGTTCAGCTGCCCAAAGCCAAATCTCTGCAGACTTACCCCAAGTTTCCTTACTTTAGCTGTAGCTAACAAGAAAATGAAGCCTTAATATCGTGGAAGTGACAGATGTGCCTTCTAGGCTAGGAGTGGTTAATCCTAAAATCAAGTTAAGGCTGGCACTGACAGCCTTGGCCCAGTCTAAAAATGCAGATTTTTATTCTGCCATCTCCAAAGGGTTTAGCATCTATTTATAGAGTTTTTCATTTCACCTTTTCTGATAGGAAAAGATGATTCACTACAGGGAGACAGAATTGAGAGTTCATCAGCATATTAAAGTTAATGGAAGGAGTGAGCCTTGCTGACCAAGTTATTAACAGGTCTAAGAGTTTTTCAGGATCATTCATTGCCCACCTGACACGTCAGCTCTTTCCACAACAGAGCCCTTGGCCCTGTACACAAGCAATAATTTATGCATTGCACTTAGTGGTTTTCACAAAGCCATTACCCAGCTTTGGCTCCTGCTTAGCATCAGCAGACATGTGAGGTAAAAAAAAAAAAAAAGGGATAAAATATAGGTTTGCTCCAGGAAAGCACAACAATCTCTGCAGAGTTAGAAGGGGGAGAATTCAAACAGTCAGAAGGGTGCAGAAACTTTCAAATTAAGAATGTTTTAACTCTAACTCAAAACCACAGAATTCTTCTTAAATTTTATAGTAATGCTCTACTTAGACTTAGGGAAACTCAGCTGATTTTAAAGTCAAATTTGGTACCTAAAGTAGTGAGGTAGGAAATTGCACAGAAGAGATCAGTTTTAATCTTACCTTGATGAAAAATTTCCCCATCCCCATCAGACCAGTCTCAAACCCCCACTGTCAATTAGACCATGAACTCCTTAGCAACAAACTCAGCAGCAATTTAACAAGAAAGGATATAACTTGATGTGGTACCATGGTCCCTTTACACAGCCAGAGTGACCCAGAGTCACATCAGTGTAAACAGAAATCAGATTTATTGCTGCACTAAGATTAGTGTAATTTACACAGTGCTCAGCGAGGCTTTAATGAGGGTGTTTGGTAAGAACAAATGATGTGGTGTGTTTTCAACATTTCTGTATGTAAATCCTACTCAAAGAGCATTTATTGATTTAAATAATGCACCAGTGATTTAGTGCTTACCTAAAATGGCACTTTGCATTCATTCCTCACCCTGCTCACAGAAATCTGCTTGTTAGAAGCCCCATGTCTCATAAGGGAAAAGACTCCCAGGCACTTAAGCTGACCACATAAACATCATCTGAGCTGCAGGAGGAGAAATAGCTGCACTACCACCATGCCAAATCTAGTCATGTCTGCAAGTCTGTACATCCTTCTCAGTTCCAGGATAAAAAAACAAGAGATAATGTGATTAGAGATTCCCATATATTGCAAACAGGCTGCCACAGCTGTTGGCACAAAGCACTTGTGGTTTGATGAAACTGCCTGGGAAAACCAGGCTCCTGGATTACTCAAACCACTTGAAATATTGACTTTCTGGTCTTCTTACCAGGGAGATTCTGTCCCTCCAGCCTTGCTGCTGGCTGATCCCTCAGGTGATCCTGAGTGCTCAGAGCGTGGTGGATGAGCAGGTCCTGACAAGTCCTATGGATGGGCAGATTTTTTTCTGTTAATGGTGGAGCATGTTACAAGATTAATTACATAGTTCAGAGCAAAACAGCTGCACCAATGCCAAATCAGCAGCTTTTGATTATTGCTACAAGCAAGCCAGAATTTTTGATTTACAGGACCTCGTCAGGAGCTTTGCTTTAATTCCATTGCAGGATGAAAACAAAGCAGAAGTCAGTAAAAAGGGCAGTTTCATATGAAATCAGAGTGCACTAATAACCCACAGCACCATCACTGCCAGCACAGCTGGTTTGTGTCCCTAAGCCAGGTTTGATCCTGGGTTCAGTGCTCCAGCCCCCATTCCTGAGGTATCTGGCAGATCCACAACCTCACCATGACCCCAGGAGGGTTTTGGATCCATGGGAGTGGGATGCCTAAATACTCTTCACAAATCCTGACTGTGAGACAGCAGCAGCTGGGTACCTGGGGATGTTGGTGTGACATTTGTTTGCTTCCTCCTTCCAGCAGCCAAGGGTGCTGAACACTGAGGAGTCCCCAGTGCAGCCCCAAGTCCTGCTGTCAGTCAGTGACAGTCCTGACATGGGCTCACGTGGGGATGTGATTGGGATTTCTGTGTTTGCTGCTGCTGCTGAAACAGCCTGAAGTTATGCACAAAGGAACTGAGGAGTTACAAAAGAGAATTCCTGCTTTATCATTCCATCAGGAAAGTCTGTCAGTAGGACAGGAATCACTGTCTGGAGGCAGCAACCATCTCAGATAACAAAGGACAAGGAAGTGGAAGAGCAGATCTAAAGTGATTACCAAGTGTGCTCCTCTAATGAATTTGTTCTTCTTACCCCAAGTGTGAGTTTTCCAATCTCCTCCACCAGCATCTGAATCTTTGCTTCTCGATCAGCCACCAACTCCCTGAGCTGGTCTATCAGGTTCTGTTCCTGAGTCTCCCCACTCCAGTGGTGCCCCATCATCTGCCAAGGCTCCTTGACCACACATTCCTTCTGGCTCAGGCCCATCAAGATCTCCTGCATTTGCTTCTGCTGGCTCTGGTAAAAAAGAAGCAGGTGAGATCTTTGTTTGGTACACAATGATTATTTTAAATGCCCCCAAGATAAATATCCATTTAGGAATGGTAGGGCAAGCCCCTGCCCTGCCAAGCCCGTTCCTCGGTGGGAGCACACTGGTTTCACTGGTGTCACTTTGGCAATTTGATTTGTTATGTTGATCTGAGCAATGGTCAGACTCAATTTGCTGCCAGCTCTGCTGCTCAGTGTAGCAGAAAACAGAGCAAGAAAGGCTGGCCTTTGATAAAGAAATGACTTTTTCCATAAACTGAGTGAAACTCAAGACTTCAATGTGCTTTTTGTGGAATTAGAACATGATCAGATCATGTGATAGTGGCATTAAAAGCTGAGGGTATTATGGGATGACAGATACGAGGCCAGGCTGCTTCACCAGTGGTTTTGGAAGCTTTTTCCCACACTGACAAATCTAATACCTGTCAGACAGTTTGTTCTGTCAGGCCAACAACCTACAAGTAAAGTGCTTTTGTGATAGAAGGGATAAAAGAGATTAAGCATCCCTTCCCAAATAAACTTGCATCTTTCTGTACTAATTTTAGTGGAAATATTTAGAAAAAGTGACAAGAGTTCTTTGGCTCCCCTGATCTGCTGGCCAGCACCCACAGTGCCTGGTGGGAGAAGAGTGAATGCCAGCTGAGCTAAAATCTACCTATAGCAGCAGGGAAATCTGAGTGCTTTGAAACTAGTGAGGAGCTGGATCAGAAACACAGAATTAACCCTACTAGGAGGTGGCATATTCTCAAATATATTTGCTATTTTAATTGAGGAAGGCTGTCTAGAACCATGGCAGGACCATGACAGCAGCCATTTATTTCTTTCTCAGCATCTTTGAGCCTTTGCTAAAACTCTTGGTTTTGAAGAGGCCACATCCCCTCAGTTCCAGCTACTGCAAGTGAGTGTGAACACGGTTTAGTACTTGTGGTTCAGCTTGTGTGTTGTGGGCTGTGTGACAAAATTAATGGAAGTCTTGTTACAGACAAAAAAATTCCTGCAGGACTGCAGGCATTCTAAGGAAAAAAAAAAATCTACCAGTGGAGCTGAAAGCAGAACAAAGAACACGGGCCAGCACCTTGGGTCAGGACTGAAGCCCATTTCTCTACCTACTTCAATCCTTCTGCAAAATGCTTCTGCCAGTCCCTGCAGCTCAGGGCCACTTAACTGCAACTGTCACACTTGGTGCTGTCACACAGCCCTTACATGACCTGATCCAAAATGCAGACAAGGAAATCTCTGGCTGTCACAGTTGGATCCATCAGGCTCCTGTGCACCCTAAGGTTGTGTGTGTGTCATGAAATGACATCGTGTTTTATCACCTACAGAAACAGGGCTGGGACCAACAGACACAGACTGTACCAGCAAGGCATCTATGAGCTCATCATCATGTTTCCCTTTCTCCAGCAAGGTTCCAAACTGTCCCTTCAGCATCTTCACTTCTCCACACAGCATTTGGTTCCTGGCTCTTGAGGCATCAAGTTTTTTTTTCAATTCCTCATGGTTTTTTTGGAGAGTGTTGTGTTGCTCGGTGAGTTTCTGCAGTGATGTAAAGGAAATGAAAGTTATAACTCATCACCAAGCCCCAGGTGCTGTGGTGAGCAAAAAGAATCACACATTACCTGGTAGAATCTAAAAAATGGGACTGGAATACTGTATTATTCCTAAAATAAATGCTACTTGCTGCCTGCTTGCCAGCATCCAAAAACGGTCTGTTTGCTCAGGAATCCAAGTGGTCTGGGTTGATTCTCCATTATTCTGGATTCTGATTCACCATTATTCTGTTCAAATGGAAAAGCCCAGAACCCTACAGATACAGGAGGTGTGAGGGATGTCTGTTTTTGGGATGAAGAATGCACACAGCTGGCCAAGGAGTGAGAGTGGTTCTAAAGAGTTTGGGTGCAGCTGTAGCAGGGCTTGGCTGTGAAGTGGGGCAGAGCTTCCTCCAGCAGATCAGGTGGGTTTGTGAAATGGTTTTAGGTAGGGTGTAACACACCCTGAAGGCAGAACGAGTTATTACACACTGCTCCACACCCAAACAGGACTCTGTCAGTTCACAGGATTTTACCTCCAAAGATTCCTTCTTTTCTTTTTCCAAGCTGCGAATCTTCAGCAAGTTTTTCTCTTGGACTGACAACTTCCTTGGATCAGCAAATTCCAGAAATCCCTCATCTGTCTCAAGCAGTGAAGTTCTGATCTTGCATTGTCTCAATTTATGCTCCAGCTCTTGAACCTATGGCAAAGTAATGACAACTCACCCAGAGTTTTACTGGGGGTACAGCACAAAGAGGACACAGCCAAAGGCAGCTCAGATTATTTCTTGATATTGTCATGGTTAACTAACACAAAGCAGTGTCTGATCTCTCAAATTGAAATTTAGCTGCTAATAAACATGCAGATTTTAGGGCATCTGTGCAGGAAGGAGATCTGGGACACATGGGAGATCTGTGCCTTTGTGGAGCCACATTTGGAGGCCAGACAGGCACTCCAGAGCATTTGGAATTGCTGTTGTGTGAATCCAAGTGAACTCAGCTTGTCAACTGCTCACTGCAGGCTGCTTTCATAGTCAGTAGAAGGAACTGGGCAGTGCCACAGCTCAGTTCCTCTGCCCTGCTTTGGAGGAACCTGCCTCACTTTTGATCCAGTGACTGCATTTACAAGATCCCCACTGACTACAGAAGGGGCCTGAGGAGTCTGGATCAGAAAGAAATCTGTACATTAGAGCAGGGAACAGTAGGAACAGTGTTCAGATGAACCCCAGGCAGGGGATATAACAGGGGGAAATGGAATTTGCTCAAGGGAAAGCAGAGGTTAAAAATCTCAGTCAGAGTGCAAAAAATCATAGTTTGATGGCATATAATTGAATAGCAGAAAAATGGGAAAATTACGTGTCAAATTGCCTGAGAGAAGTTTTATTTAGATGCAGACAAAACTGCCTCCCTGCCTCCTGCTGACATTTCAGCTAAACTCTGCCCTTCAGAAAACTCAAGAGTTAAAGATTTTACTGAAGCTCCTGAGGGAACAACTTGAAAACTTGATCTGGCCTCAATTCTTCCCATCTGACTCCAAGCACTGAACAAAGGTGTCTAAGTCAGAGCACAGACACTGACAGGGCTCCTTCTGTTCTCAGTGCAGAGAGACACCTTCAAAACACCCTGGGACTTGAACCAGGCTGCCACAGCTCTCCAAGGTCACTGATCTCCTTCCTTTGACACAGATGTGAAAGATTCCCAGCTGAAACACCAAAGCTTGCACGGCTGCAACAGAGTCATTATCATGATGTGCACACATCAACACAGAGATGTCAAGAATTAATGAAGAACTGACAGTACTTTTACCTTAAATTGAGGTGATATCTCTACTTAGAAAGGGAATTCCAGCTGAAATGGCAGCGTGCAGGGTCAGAACTCACCCTGGTTTGGAGAAGAAGAATTTGCTGAGCTCGTCCACGCCAGCTGCCAGAATTGGTCAAGAGACTTTGGATATTCACATCTTCCCCAACTTCTTTGGCTAAAACCTGGGAAAAGGGATTAACATCAACAATAAGGTTTTAAAGGATGTGTTAGGGAGAGGGGAGGAAAAGCTGCTCTCCCTAACATGGAACACAAGCAGTTTTCAATATACACAATTATTTTTGACATGATGAATATTTACTAATAGCTAACCAGGAACAGAGGAGAGATATTGTCTTCATACACACCAGGAATTGAGCCAATCTTCCTTGCAAAATTCTCACACAGCTAAACTTAGTATGAAGAGCATTTAAATTATTTATAAAAAGGTCAGCAGAGTTCTATTTTTAGGATCATATTCTCTACTCTGATCTGCATTGCAGGTCTCCTACACAAAGTAGGGAAACCAAAGAGAATCAGAACACATAATAACACTTAAATCCATCAGGAATCAGAGGAAAAGGTTATTTGGATGTCATTCCAACCAAGTCTTTAAACACAGTCTTTAAACTCATGCTTTAGTTCAACCATGGCCTTTAATCCCATTGATTCCCATGGGACTGGAACCTACATTAAAAGTAAATACATAATTAAATGTATGGGAAAGGAGAAATGAACCTGGATGTATGTCACAAACAGTTCTGCAGATCTGGGACTTTAAAACTCAAAAGGATTTGTGTCCATTGGACAGTGGGAATGCTGGACACAGTGGGGGAAAATCATGAGATCCCTGTGTCCAGGAGCACAATTTCAACTCCAACACTTACCCTTGTGTCTTCCTCACCTCCCTGCTCCACTGGAATAGTTCATGGGAGCCAACCAAAGGCCAAAAGCCTCTCATTTCCCAAGACTGAACCTGCTGCAGGGGTCCCAGCCCCAGAGGTCTCCCTGCAGTGGTACCTTTTGGGTCAGCTTCAGTTCCTGTCTCACATTCTGGAGCTGGTTCCGATATTCCGTCACTTTTACGTTGGCTGTGCTCAGTTTTTCTTGCAGTGCTTTCACCTCTGGACTTTCAGCCTTTGAGGAGAGGAATGTATTTGGTAAAAAAAAAGGGAAAAAGGGCTTAAGATCCATGGATCCATCAGGGCTACTGAATTATTTTTTTTTCCAGACCTAATTTTTGGGGCACAGAGGAGGTACAGGGGAATTTGGTCCCAAAAATGGTGACAGGGATACATCCTTGTTCTACAAAGAAGCTGAGCATCAGCTGCTGATTCCCTCATTTCAATTACAGTTCCTACCAAGTTTCCTTCCAGCATTTTCAGAGTTGATTCCTTGATTCCTGCAGCATCACCACCAAGGGAATGGATTTTTCCTGTGGCTGCCTGTAGCTGGAAAAGAACCCCACTGTTAGTGTAGAATGAATGCAGAGAACAGCATCACTCCATGGAGTATTAATTAGCAAAAAAGCATAATGTTTATGTTCTCTAAAAAATCCAAAAAAAGCCTTAATTTTCCCTTGTTTTTCAACACAATCAGTAGGAAAGCATAATTATTTGTTTTCTGAAATGCTTCCCAAAGAATCATGTTATATTTTACTGTGAAATAATTTCAGAAGATGTTTTCTGACCTGCTGAGATGGGATCATATTTTAATAATGGAGACTTCTGAGGCGTTTTATCAGCAAAAGTACCTCAACTTAATGTTTATATACAAAAATCCTAATCCTGTCCAGCCCAGAATATTTCATGAAAAGCAAATAGTTCTACTCACTACTCAATGTAGAAGGAGAAATCTACCTGACATCCTATAACTGAGATTTAATGGTGTTAAGGCTCTTTTTCTTTAGCATTTTTTAACCCATGAAGAATAAAGACTCTGTCTCCTCTTGCTTGCCACAGCAAAGGAAAATAGACATACAACCCCTCCTGCTCTGAGTCATGCTCTATGTTGCTGTTGCAAAGATTTCTAAATGGATGAGAGTGCAGGAATTTGGGGCTGGAAAGGCCAGGGAGTGCTGCTTTAAAAGTTTGAAACTTCATTCTTTGAGGTGGGTGGAAAATCTTGATTATTTGCCTGAATTAAAGAAGGCTCAAAGGAAGAGCTCCTTTATTAAAGGGGCATCTGGGGAAAAACTAACTCAGAGCCAGCTCTAATTTCACCCCTTTTTATGGGTTAGGACCACTCTTTCTACCCAGTTCATAAAATTTTGTAGTCAATGGACTGGGAATGAGGAATTTCAGCTGGAGCTGGCAGCTGCTGGCTCAAGTTCTGAGGAAATTTTCTACAAACATCCCCCTGCTTACATGGCCCACCCTGTGCCAAGTGATTGTTCAGTGGCCACAACTTCCATTCTGTTTGGGGGAAACATAATCATGGTAAAATACTCAGGATTTACAGATTTTTCAGTTGTTACGCAAGGAAAGAGCTAAAAATATGTAAAATAACAGTGTTTTCTATCTATCACTCCATATTTTTGATAGATACCTCCTAGTGCCAAACATGGCTTTCATTTTACAAATCATTTACATCTTAGTCTTCTTCCTGAAATGTCTGTGCTCTTTTCTTTTTAGGTCAAAATCTGAGAATATTTCAAGTTTCTGTTTGAATAAAGGTCATTACACTTCTGCAGTAGGGGAGTAGAACCAAGTTGATTTTTCCTTAAAATTATTCATGAACTGCTGCACTACTTGTGTGATTTTGTAGGTCCCAAATTACACCTGATACTTGTTTGCCAACCTGCCAACTGTTTGACAAGACCCCTCTGACCAGAACACTGTGGATTTTTGCAGGAGTTCTCTAAAATTTAATTTAATCCACGACTTCTTGATCTTTCAGGTAGCTGGGGTGCAATTCAGGTAGATGCATTACTCATGATAATAAGTGATGGTGAAAGACTGAGTCAAAATTCATCTGTCAGCATTATTGATTCATTTAACTGATCTCTTCTAAGAAAGCAAAGTTCAGGAAAAAAAATTTAAATTATAAAAAAAAAAATCACCATACTGTGTAAGGAAGAGGAGTAGTAGCCAAAGGACAAAGCAAATATTGACATCAGGACATCTCATTTTCAATTCAGCAGCCACCTGAGTAAAATTACTTCTGTGAAAGGTTGACAAAAAGTCACAGTAAACCAGAAAATTTAATCTGCCTGAGTGAAGATTTGCTGCCTTATATGACATAGTTTGGTGTTGTATCAGTTCTGTAAGTACTTATTCCAGAAAATAGCTTTCATTACAGGGATGACAAAAGCTTAGAAGAATAAAGAACTAATTACTGACTGGTATTAACAAGGTGGGAATGTAAGACATAAAGGTGTGAAATTTGCTTCTCCTCACAAAAAAAGTAAATAATAAGGGAAATATCATTGCCAAAGTGGTAGAAAAGCCTCTGTGCTTCTACAAATGAACATTCCTAATTGCTGTTTAATAAATCCCTAGCTCGTTATAACTTGGGGATATCCTTTCCCAGCTCCTCCTGTCTGCAGAGGTGAAACAGCTGTGGGAACACATCATGGACAGAAATGACCACAAACACGGATTTAAGAGCAAATTCAACACAGGAACATGAAGCAAACCCATTTTCTATCCCAAAGGCTGCATTTCCATGGTTTAGGGTGCAAAAAGAGAACAAGAAAAACGCCTCACTTCTCTCTCCAGCTCCTTGACTTTGTGATTCAGCTGCTTCACTCTGGCTCTCTCACTCTCAAACTCAGCAGTCATCTCACGGTTCTTTTTGGCCAACTCAACTATTTTAGTGGCTGCCACATCTCCAGCTAAACCAGACACCCCTGCAAAGAGCACATGAAAGCAGAGAGCACATCTTACAGGCAGGATTCAGAACAGACCATGCTTTTGTTCTCTGTCATAATTCTGTACTTTCATTGTCCCATCCCTTCCTCCCAGAGCTGTGCCAGGCACTTAAGTGAACAAGTGAGGGAAGAGATGTCAGAGGTGCCAGCTGGATGGGTTGGTCCTTTGATTCTGCAGCTCACCATGGCCACATTTCACACTGTGGCAACAGCCATGTGTCACAAGGCCACAACAGTAGTTGTAGCCACATTATTACCTAGAGAGGGCAGTGGTGTTTCCTGCTCACTGCTGGGAAGGACAGTTGGGAACAGGATTTTTTGGCATTATCACAGGAAAATGCAACACTCTGTTTTGCCTGGTCGTTTAGTACTGGAGGAGTTGCTGGAACAGAGGTGTGAACATTTCTAGATATCAATCCTCAAAGGTCAGGCACAATATTACAGTTGAGTCCTGGACAAGGTCCAGGAAATTTCATTGTGCCTATTTATAACTCCCTTGGGATTACACAGGGAGCTTTGCTGGATGACTCTTTAATTGCTCTTTAAAACAGCCACGTCACTGGCTCTCTCATCAGGGAGGGTTTGATTAGTGCCACAAACAAAGCAAAGCCCAGGCTGGCTAGTGTGTCACCTGGCTCTGGTTAATACCACACAGGTGAAGGAAAGCTCTTGTACAAGTGCAAAATCAATGCCATGGCAAACAACGTCCACAGAAATTTCCAGCTCAGCGAGGAACATGAGCCTGCAACAACAAACCCTTGGTGTGAAGGCTGAACTTGGCTGCTGTCATTCCTCTTAACTCTTTCATCCTCCTTCAGAGCTCTGCAGCAATCACTTTTCTCTGATATTCATGAACTGGGGTGGGATGAGAGATCACTCACAAGTGAGTGCTGAGGCCCATATAGCCCCAGAGACATTAGTGGGGCTACACAGAATACAGCTGAGAACAGAATTTGTTCCTATACCACTATTTTAAAAACCTGGTAAAGAACATAAATTCCTTTAAAACAATAAATTATCTTAAAAGCATTTCAAATGCCTTTTAAAAACCACTTTAAACCAATCCATTATTTTTAAAAGCATTTCCACTGCTCTCACTCCTTGGTGTGGTTTATGTTACCTGTCCCATCCAGGAGCTACTTTTACCTCAGTTTTCAGGATAAATTATGGCTGCTGAGAATCACAGTAAATACTAAATTAACCAAAGCCAGGTTGCTGCTTCCGTGTTAAATTGATGGTCTTCAAATGCATTGCACACACTCCAGCAAGGCTTTTCATTCCCAAGCAATGTGGGGATTGCCACAATGCAGACAGGGAAGACAGAGGCAGGGGGTTGGCGTCAGCCAGAGAAGCTGCAACAGCACATCTGGCTCCTGGTCCTGACCAGGAAGAGCTTTATCACCTCTCCTACACACAAACTACAGCTGCTTTTCAAGGATTAAGGTGTAACTTAATGTGATTTAGTTCTCTTCATTGCTGGTTTCCCCCTTCTCTTCAAGCCTGGCCATCATTGCTGTCCTGACCAACAGTGGCACCCAGTGGAGGAGGTGCAGCCTGCACGGTTCAGTTTTCAAGACACCAAAATCACTTTGGAAGCTGAATTTTGCATTAAGCCAGCATCCTGCTTGTGCCTAGCTCAGGCAGGAAAAAAAAAAAAAAGGAGCTTGAATAAGAAATTTAACTCTACAGAGCAGAGAGAGCTGCAGCACAGCTCTTTGACACTATCAGGAAATTTTCCAAAACATTATCTCTACAAAACATCATTATTTTTATGCCAATAATAGCAAATTTACAGTTCTGTGAGGAACAGAAACCACTGTGTACCCTAAACGAATACTGTTCTTTTCAGGGACATTTTTTTGTTATCAGCATCAAGCAAACCAACATGGTTGAGAATATGAAGTTGCTGTGTTTACCTGACAGAGCTAACCTCTCCTCCTCCACTCTTTTCTGGAGCTGCTTTATTTCAAAATCTTTCTCTGACACCAGTTTATAGAGCCTGCAGTTCTCATCCCGGACCTCTCGGAGCTCATTCTGCAGCTGCTCATTCTCAGCCTCAAGCAAACTGAGAAAAAAATAAGCCACAATGCAAATAATGGGCAAATAATGTACAAATAGGTGCTCCTAAAAATAAAAAGTGAAACAACTTCATGATAGACAGGCTGAACTTACCAGCAGTTAGTTTATTGAATTAGGCAGAAAATCCTAAACCTCAGATAAGAACAGAAGCTGATTATCTGATCTATTCAGTTAATATCTTCTTAAAAAAAAAAAAAAATCCGCACTTTTTTAAGCTGTCTGGGGCAAAACATCACAGAACAGGTGTATTGAGGTTACCAAATAGTGTCATCTCAGCGTTACTTACCTGGTTCTTCAGAGGAAATCTGGTAGCATTCAGCATGTGTGGGACATTCAGGCTTTCTTTTCTATACTTGACAAAACCAAGAGAAGCCAACAGAGCATCGACTACAAAGCTGCCCCTGGGGTCCTTTAAAAATCAATGGTTTAGAGCAATTCATAAAAGACCAATTTCCCGTGTCCTCAGCTGATTCACTTGGAACCCTGTGAGCATCAGTTTGTATTGTTAATGGTGCCTTTTGGAATTCTTTTAGAAACAGAGAATATATATAAAAAAAAAAGCCCTCTGAAAGGAAAAAAATAGCCCTGCTTCTCCTATTCTTCAGGACATTTAGCAACATTTAAAGGTTTTATCTCTCTAAGACATCCAGAGAATTAATAACTTTAATCTCTTTACTGCCCTGATGTGATAGGTCCTTCAAATATAAAATCCAGGAACTGTGGCCTCAGGGGCTCAATTCAATTGTGGGAGTTCAGAATTATCTGAGCTCCCTGACACAAGGTCCTTGAGAAAACTTGGGAATCAATACAATTACCCACACACAGGTGACATTTGGGCTGCCCACATCACCCCAGCTGTTGCTGCTGGAAGATGCAGGTCTCCAGTGCCCTGTGATTCCTGTGTGGAAGTTCCTGATAATCTACAGCATCTCAGTTATCCACACACGTAAATCAGCTGGATGAATTGACTCTTAGATTCTTATTTTCTGCAGGGTAACCCTAAATGTTTACACTTTGGAGATGTGATTTGAATAAAGCCCAATTGTTACAGTATCTACTTGTAGACACAGCCAAGCCAGATATGTCAATAATCAGCTTTTTTTTTTTTATTCCAAAGTTTTAGCAGCTTTTAGCACCCATTGGACTTGAGAGCTTTTAAATGCAACCTCCATCTGCCCATGTCAGAATAAATGACCCCTTAAGACACTGGCATAAACAGTACAGCCAATTTAGGAGAAGATTCACAATGCATAATTAAGAAATGCACTTGCTTTCAAAGCTGCAAATGAAAAGGAGATCAAAGGCAGCTGTTCACAAAGGAGAAGAAAGCAAGGAGCAAAGTAAGCAGAGCAGAGGCAGAACTGAGTTATTCCCACATGAACCACTCAGAGGAGTGAGCAACAAAACTCTGATCCAGTTAGAAACACCTGAACCAAAAGATTTTGAACAGTGGAGGATTAACATGGAAAAAGAGTTCTAAGCTTAACACACCTGAGCAGTGAAGTCTTCTCAGAGCTGGAGTCCAAGTCTTGAGGAAAAGCACTTAGAGGAAGATGGACAGAAATCTCAACTGCACAGAGCTGGAGTGTCCTCTGAGGAACTTCCCACCCCATCCCAGAGTGACTCTCCCTGCTACAGAGGTAGCAGATCCACCCCAGTGCCTCAGCTACAGAAAATGAGCCAAAAGAAATAGGCTGCAAAAGGTGCCCCTTTTCACTCCCCTTCAAGGAATCACAGCCAGGTGGAGCTTATGAGCAGAGCTCTGCCTGGAATTCAGGTGGCTTCCCAAATTGCATGCCTTGTTCAGGCTAAAAAAAGTAAGGAATTTAACTTTTGTCAAATTGTGTCTTTCCCAACTCTTGTTAGAGATTTTGCACATGATGGGGAGAGTCACTTAGATACATTCAAATACACCAAACAGAGAAGGGAGGATAAATGTACAGAGAGAACATAACAGAAATATCAGCTAAACACTTGTCTAAACAAGATTTGGGAGTAGGATGGGAGGAAGGAAAAAAGAATTCCCAAGGCTCATAGGAAGGGAGACTTTTGAGAGGAGAATATTTTCCAATTGCTGCTATAAACAATGACAAGCTGGAGTCCTGTGATCCTGGAACAACCCTCTGATGTGTTGTCATGGGAATACTACAGAGAACATCCTGGTGAATCCTTTCTAGAAACAAATCCTGCCTGGATTTGATCACTCACAACCACTCCTCTGCTGAATGTACACAAGCAAAGGACAATCCAGATATATCTGCCACACCTGCCATGTCAAATGGGACTTTTGTCAGTGACACAGAGGTAAATAAAACATCTGGGATTACTCAGGCCTAAGGTACTGAACTATAAATAGCAGAGAGCTACTGGGCTTTCCTGTACTCTGCACACTTCCCATGATGTGCTACAGGAGCACCTAAATCCTTTTCCTCAGCCAAACATCTGAATTACGGGATCAGCCTCACAGAAATTTTTTTTAAAATCAGACTTCCATCATAATCTTCCACAGATTATCAGAAAAAAAAAAAAACCAACGTTGAAGGGAAGAGAACAGCTGGTAGCAGTGAGGCACCAGTGCTTGAAGGAATTTCTTCACCTGGCTTCACCACTACCACAGAGCAAAGTCCTGAAGAGCCAGCACTGCAGCACACCTTCAGGGTGTGTCCAACCCCAGACCTGCTCTAGTCAGGAAAAGAAATATTAGGAAAGGCTGACTATATCCTGGGAAGAAGAGAAATTATCTGAGCTGAGGCTTTAAATCTCTGCTCCAGTACACAGCTTAAAAGAAAAAAAACAAGATGAAGTGAGATCCATACCAAAATACCCAATGTCCTGGTAATCTTGTGATCCACCAAATCAGGATATATTGGAAAGAAATCCCAGGGAACACTCTTCAGCACTGCAGGCCTGTGACTTACTCCCATTAGCTGCTTTGCCTCTGTCCATCTTTGGAAATTATTCACATAGGGAACTTATTTGCTTCAAGCTAGGCAGGAACTAACCAGCAATTCAGAGGAGGCCAGTGATATTAAAAGGCTGGATTTTGTCAAGGCTGCCCCTTCATTTGTAAAATACTGATATTAAAAAGCACAGCACAATGCCTTGATGATAATTATGGGATTATATTATGGGATAACCTTCTCAGGATAATGAAAGCCCAGTGTGTGAAAGTGTCCTGTCAGCTTAATAATACTGAGTTTCATGAGATCATAAGCAAAATATACTCCAAGTGATCTCCTGAAGGAATGGTGCTGCCAGACCTTTACCTTTTGCTGGCATCTTCCATTACAGGAGGTCCTTTTTTAAACAGGTTCAGATCACTCAGGGATCTTACAGTCTCCTTTGTGCTGCCCGTGTTCTTCTGGCCGTTCTGCTTTTCCTTCTTCCTCTCCACCAAATTTTGCAGCCTCCTTTGCTGTTGCTCCTGATAAGCCTTAAATTGGCTTTTGAAATCTTCATTCACTTTCACGTCTGGGTCCATTGTTTACTAAAAGCAGAACAAGGGGAAAATAAAAAGTGACAGAGAGCAGAGATCAGCATTGCTCTGTAAAACATCCCCTTCTGGCAGCTGCTCTGCAGCTTTTCCTCCCTGACCTCTGCCAGCCTCCCACCTCCTCCTCCTCCTCTTCAGCCTCAAGGCTTTGCTTTAAGCACCCTTTTCCATAAATGGCTTTTAAACAGCCCTTCAAAAAAATGTTGTCGAGTCTTTTTCGCTCCAGAATTCAAAAAGCAACGTTTCCAAATGTTCTTAAACAGACCTGTTTAAATAAACATTTTAACAGAGGAGCAGGTTGGGGCCAAATCCAAGTTAATGTGGCAGCCAAGTCACACTGGCTAAAGGGAGCATGGAGAATTTGGGACCATCCAGCCTCCTTGCCCCCATCCAGGGAAGGTGCAAATCCCCCCATTTTTGGGTTAATAGGGGACTGATTGACAGAGGAAGAAAAATATTTTTTTTTCCTTATGCTCCCTTCAGGCAAGACAAAAATGTGGCTTACACTTTTTCCCCAAATTTCTAATCACTGAGTGATAACATTACATAACTAAATAATGATATATTAATTATTAAGTATATTTAATTATAAAAATAGATTAGCAATAGATTACAAAAAGAATAATAGTGCTACCCAAACATTTTTTTAGGATGACTAAAGACAGTCCTCTGATAAACTTCAGCTCCTTTCTCCTTCTGTTTGACATTTATTGTCAGAAAAAAAAAACAACACTTATTGCACCTTTGGTCTAGGAAAACCAATACATAAATATCTCCAAAGGCATGCCCTGCACTCAGTAATTAACACAGGGCCTTTCCCACACTTATGGAAAACCAATTATCCTGATGAATGCAGCAAAATGCAGCGTGTCCCTTTGTGTACCTTATGGGCAGAGTCACCTGGACAAGGTGCACTGAGGATTGACAAGAGCAAAGAGCAGAGTCTGGTGCCTCTGCACAGCCCACACGGCTCTGGGCATGAGAGATCAAAGAATTACTGAATCACTGAGGTTGGAAAATCAATTTTAATCGATTAAAGTTGATTCTGAGACTTGGAAAAAGCCTGGAGAGATAAGGAGTCCATTCCATTTATTTAAGCAAACTGGATATAGAATTTAGACAGTTTTTCTGGTTTCAGTAACCTTTGGGTTGATAATTAAATTTATAATTAGATCGGACCTCTTGATAGGTTTAGCCACTGACTTTATAGCAAAGATGAGCAAGAACATCTTCAAACAGTACTTGTGTCTGTTCTGAAAATATCCCAGAATTCTTAACAGAGTAACTATTTTAGGCCTTAAATCACCTTCATGATTTTTCTCAGATTTTTCATTACTTAGACTGCATTACTGATTAATTTATTATTTTATAACTTATGGAGTTATTTACTTATCCACAGGCCAGAAATGTGCACAGTACTCAACGTGCAGCTCCATCACACAATGCTACAATGGAAAAACACTCTCAGACCCTGGAGTCCAACCATTAACCCAGCACCACCACCCAACCTTGTCCCCAAGTGCCACATCCATGTGGGATTTGAACAATTCCAGGGATGAGCAGCCTTTTCCAACATCCAACCACCCTCTGGGTTGTTAAAAATTACAATATAATATTGGCTTTCACATTTATGTATTAACCTATGCATGCTAATATTGACCATAAATATTCAGATATAGCACAATGTATAATTCTATCTAGCTGTTTGTTAGTATAACATAATTATTAATTTAAGTAAGTACCATATATTTATAGAAATATTGGTGTGATTAATTAATTATTTTGTAGGCCTTAGCAAAAACACTGTGGAAAAGGAGGTTTACTTTCTTGGTAGATTTTCCAAGGTTTAATAAAAGACAATAATAGACAAATAATAAAACAAGGTTATAGTGGTCAGGTGCTTGGTATTTAGCCAAAAGCACACTTGTTTTGGAGACACCTTTTAAATTTATTACTCCATTGTATATTCATAGACCTATCACACATTTTCAAACTTTTCTATAAACTATATTTTATATTCTAAGAATTATTTTATATGGCTACTCTTTGAGTCTGCCTTTTTAGAGTATGCATGTTTTTTGGTTGTGGTTTTTAATTTTTTTTTTTAATATTTGCAAATATTTTAATATTTGCAAAAAGCCAATACCATAATATGTATTTATAACAAACACAAAATGTTTAAAATCCTTCAATGTGACTGAAAGAATGGTGGGAAATAATTCTGTTGGTTCCCATATCTGCTGAATAACCTCTCCAAGAGATAAGAAAACAGTGACAAAGCAGAGCACCCTAGAAGAATCCTGGAAGAATTTGTTAACCCCTTAGCAGAGGATGTGGGACAACAGGATGGAGACACGAGAAGAATTAAAACATCTCACAGGATGTGGTGCAGAAAAGTCAGACTGTAAAGAAAACAAACTGAAGAGTTGCTGAAATATCAAAAACTCACAAGAATGTCTGAATAATGTATGGAGCACATGAATATGTATGTACTTATAATGTAAAATTAATATATATACCTATAATGTAAGTACCTAATGTAACACTATACAGATCACACTCTTACCTTATATCCTATTTATTGTGTAAGATATATAAAATAATATATATATTATCTTATAGATCGCAGGTGCTTTTTGGCCAAAAGCCAAGGGCACCTCAGCACTGGTCGATTTTTTTTTTTTTAATCCCTTATTAAACTTCGAAAAAGAAACTTCCAAATTGCAAATCTCGTTTCTCACAGGGTGAAGAATTATTCCCGAATATCTCATCTAAACCATCCCTGGCTCCAAGGCAGGGTCACCTGGAGCAGGAACTCATCCAGGTAGGTTTAGAAAGTGTTCTAAGTACATATTATATTATTCGCTTTTTGCAAATATTAAAATGAATGCTACATGTATAACGTTGGAAAAAAATGCTGAATTAATATAGTTTATTTTAGTTCTGCTATTAACAAAACTTAGAAATAGTAGTGTGATAAATATATATTTTGGACTACAACATGGTGATGTAAAAAGCTTTTGTTAATGTAACTAACTCAGAAAATGGTAAAAAAATAATCGGGAAATTCTTCACATTCTTAGATTATCCTATCTGGATAAAAACAGGGGTGACAAACACCAAAACTACAGGGAAAAGATTTATTGATCTCCGTTATCAAGAAGAAGCCACAACGAAAGAAAATTTAAAAAGTAAAAATGTTGATTTACAGGTTGGGGGGAGTGATTTTGAATAATGTATAAAAGATCTGTGAATATGCAACAGGCTGATGCATTTAAGGAAGTGTTTTCTGAATTAAGGTGTGCTCTTGGCGGAATGCCAAGCACCCGGCTGTCATAACCTTTTGCTTTATTGTTTATCTTTTTTTTTTTTGTCTTTTATTAGACTTTTTAAAAACCTACCAAGAAACTGAACCTTTCACAGAAAGTCTCCAGAGAAGGAGACTCCACGCCCTCCCTGGCCAGCCCTTCCCAGCGCTCAGCGAAAAGAATTTCTTGCCCATTTTGAGGCGGAACTTCTTGTGTTTACATTTATGTTTTTAATTGTGAGAAGAATGTTGAATTTGTCTTTACAAATGAGCCGTGGATCTGCTTGTAGATAAGGCTAGCACTAAAAGATAAATGAAACAATGGGATAGTTCCCACTGATTGATGAATGGAAAGAGATATTTGCCTTTACAAACAAACTGTAGGGCTGCTGATAAATGAAATTGGATATCGAAAGATGAAAGAAGCAACGGGGGGAAAACTATGAATTCTATAAGAATTAAAAATTAAAAAGGAGGGTTATACATTAGAAGAGAATTTCAGGTATCAGGCATTCCGGGAAGTCTGTGCCTCTCAAGTACCTCAGCCAAATGGGAAAAGAGAGGGAAATGCGGCCGGGAAAATAGGATAAAAAGGAGGCTGCGTCCTCCAAAAATTTGAGAGAGCCCCGGGGAATGTCCCATGGTCTCTCCCTTTATTCGAATAAAGCAAAAAGGACTCCTCTGTCTCCTTTTTGGACATAAACCTCTGGTGTTTGTGGAATAATTTTCCTGACAATTGCAAACCCATAACTGTGGTTCTCTCCCTCCCGTCTCGCCCTGTGACCTGCCAGGACCTGCTGGGTCCTGGCAACGCCGCGCTGTTCCCCCATCCCGGGAACCGCTGCCCGCGCTTCCCGCACGTCCCCCGGCCTACCCGAGCGGCGTTCCCGAGGGCACCGGGAGGGAAGAGCCCCCGGCTGTCCCGGTTTGCTGCTGGGCAGCGGCGGGGCCGGAGTTGCGGCCGGGCCGGAGTTGCGGCCCCGGTGCCGCTCCCCGCTCCGGGCCCGACGCGGTGTCCATGGCAACGGCAGCGCGCGCGCTTCCCCTCAGCGCCGCCGCCATGATGGCTCCCCCCCCACCGCCATCTCCCGATCGCGAGTCCCGCAATTCCCGCACCCATCCCGGCCCCTCGGCACCGCGGGAGCGGCTCCTTCTCCTCCCTTCGTGGTGGTAAAAACAGGGAAAGGCGTCGGGGCCCCTGCCCTTGTCCATCCGTGTGAGAGCAGCCAAAGGTGATACGAGCTGGGAATCAAGGAGAGCACCGGCTGGGAATTCCCTTTCCAGGAGCGCTGCACCCTCCTCAGGTGATTTTTATTCAGCTCACGCCGTCTCCCTACGATAGGGAGCCCCCCACCCAACAAATCCATAGGAAAAGAATTGTTACTTCCTCTACTCACTTTTATTCGTGTTTAATCTTTCCCCTGCTCTATAGAACAGGTGCAGTTTGGACCGCTGCGGTGTCTGTAACCATGGAACGTCAGCTAACAGAATATGTGCTTTTTTAGAAATTGGCTTTTATTTTCGAGACTGCTGTTGGAGGTACAAGGAGTTTGAGTGGAAAATAACTCACAGACAAGGATTTTAATACCTCAAAGGTGATGGGGGGGCTTTTGAGATTTAAATGTTTTAAAATTTTCTGTGGGGAACAGTACTGCAGAAATCACCTATATCATACACTTTAAAAGCATTAAACCACCAAATTAAGGTTTAGTTT